CCATCACACCTCGCTAAGGAGTTCTTGCTCTCACAGATTATCAATTAAACAGATTTGAACACATGGTGGTACTAGATCCAAAAGACACTAGGTCCTCAGCCAAACTAGTTACAAAAGAAACTAATAAAATAAAAGAGATTCGAGTAGGCATAAATGGATACACACCTGTTATCTAGCAGTATTCGTTTATATATATCAATAGCTTCTTGGTAGTGAGATCGCATGTAGTGAATTGAGGCCAAACTTAGTTGATCTTCTGTGATATCCTGAAGGTTCTGATGAAAATTCATCAATTTTTTCTCATCATTAAACTAAAATCGTGAGAGAGGAAAAGACATAAAGATTCGCATCAGTGTACAGTTAGGGAAATCAACCCTTATGTGATGCAGATTTTAACTCCTCCTTCTCTTTTAGCCACTGTGTCTCCATCTTCTCCCTATTTCCCTTAGGTTCCTTTTCTTCTCTACTTAGAGAAAAAATACAAATAGCTTCTGGAGGCATAGCCTTGACAATGCAAAGCCTTTAAGTTGCAACTTACGTTAATTACTCAACTCCTGCACCTTTTTTTTCTTTTCTCTTTATGTTTTTTCTCTTTCTTTTTTTCCTACATCTCTTCACTCTTTAACAATTTTTATCTGTCCTTTTGTATCTCTTTCTCCTTGGTGGACAAAATAGAAGCAAAATGTATTTCTCATTATATGAGAAACTTAGTGAATACAATTTTTCATTTCCTATTCTAGATTTTTTCATCCTCTCATCAGTTAATATACATTGTTACTGTTTTAGAATTCCATTCCAACCTTGTGTGCTACTTTTGTTAAACGCTGCTGCAAATAAATTAGCTGCCTTTTGCTTATACATGGGGTAGAACATGTATTTTTGACAGTGACCCTTAATATGTAGATTGCTTACTCCTGCCTAGTTTACAGCTTGGCTTATTAGTTTAAAAAATGTTTAAAGAATCTGTTTCCACGGAACAATAAATTCTGAAGCTGACTTCTAGTTTGGTCTCTGATATATTGCAGATAATTTTTATAAGAGTTATATAAATCTTATCTTGATGTTGCAGGCAAATGGATGCAACTACTACATTCCAAAGTTTAGCTTGGAAAGGTTTTTATGAGTCTAACTTTTCTTATCTGCCTGTATTTTGGTTAATTGATAATAAATATCAAGAAAACAGAAATTTCAAATATTACTATTTCACTAAACATAAAAATTGGAAACACTCCTAATGACCAACAATAGGAAAATGATTAGGTATCTCATGGCACATCTATTAGATGGAACACTGTAAAGACATTAAAATGCAAGGCAGAGAAGTGAGGTTCCAAATCAAAATGTTATAGACAGCACAGGACTAGGAAAATATGGAGGAAACCTATTCTATCTAAAGGTGGCACCCATTACTTAGCTTCAACCAATTGTTGCACATAGAAACATGAATTCAGTGTTTTTGAGTCTTCTAATTTTTCAGAAGAAGCCAGAAATCAAAGTGTTTGTGTGACATTCCTATTTTTAAATTAAAAAAAAATTGGAACACTGTTTTAGAAACAAATCTGTGATCCATTTTCAATCCATTACCATTTACAATCCCTTCTATAGAATATCTAATGACATGGAAAAATGTTCATGATACACTTTTAAGTGAAAAATCTGTTTTTTTATTACCAAATCTGGATCATAGTTTATGTATTGATCCAGATTTGGTAATATAAATATACATACACATAAGAAAAGACAAAAAGTTCTAAGACTGGAAGAGAAGAGAACAAAATGTTACAGTGCTATCTCTAAGTGGCAGACTTACAGGAAATCTTGATTTTGTGTGTATGTGTGATTTTTCACTATTTTCTAAAAGTACTATAATGAACATGTATTATTTTTGTAATCAGAAAAAAACACAATAGGGCCGGCCCCATGGCTCACTCGGGAGAGTGCAGCGCTGGTAGCACTGAGGCCGCGGGTTCGGATCCTACATAGGGATGGCCGGTCCGCTCACATGAACATGTATTATTTTTGTAATCAGAAAAAAACACAATAGGGCCGGCCCCATGGCTCACTTGGGAGAGTGCAGCGCTGGTAGCACTGAGGCCGCGGGTTCGGATCCTACATAGGGATGGCCGGTCCGCTCACTGGCTGAGCGTGGTGCGGACCACACCGTGTCGAGGGTTGCAATCCCCTTACCAGTCAAAAAAGAAAAAAACACAATATATTTCTTAAAACTGAACCAAAGACTTCCACTTATATTGATAGAGTAGTTTATAGCATGCAGTCCTCCTACCAAGAAGACCAGAAAAGCTTGAAAACTAATGAAAAATCTGTGTGAAGGCACCAGAGAGCTATCAAGGTAATAAATACTTGAGATGCCTACTTTTTCTCTCAAGGCATCTGCCAATTCTCAACTGCTGGCACAGAAACTGAAAACTAAGCAGAGCTTCAAGTCTTACGAGCTTAATGGACAAAAATTAGAGATCAGAGCCCAAGAAAGCTATTATTAGTTGTGACTCCTGGAAAGCTACCCTAGAGACAGAGGTAAAATGGAAATAGACAAGCCCTCAGAAAGACTGAAGAGTAGCTTTATTTTTTTAAATTTGTAATATATTTATTTAATTGATTGGAATTTCCACTTAAAAGATCATTTCTTTTTTTTTATTGAAACATAATTGATTGTACTTATCTGTGGGGTACCATGTTGAAATCAATACCTGTGTGCAATATGTGATGCTCAAATCAGGATAATTAGTACATTCAACATTATACAATGCAATCATTTTTTGTGGCCTTTTAACAATTTCTTGCTAATACCCCCTTCCCCTTTTCCACCTCTGGTAACTTTGGTTCTGTTCTCTCCTTTTGACAGTTAAATATATTATTGTGATTGTTGTATATTTCCTTCTTTTTTAAAAAATATATTTGTTTATTTTTTAAACTCTCACTTATGAGTGAAGACATGTGGTATTTCTCTTTCTGTGCCTGGCTTATTCCACTTAACATAATTTTTTCTAAGTTCATCCATGTTGCTGTGAATGGCAGAATTTCATTCTTTTTATGGCAGAGTAGTATTCCATTGAATACATATACCACATTTTCCTTATCTATTGTCCAATGATGGATATTTAGGTTGGTTCCAACTCTTGTCTATTGTACATAGAGCTGCAATAAACATGGGAGTGCAGGTATTCCTTCGACATGATGATTTCTATTCCTTTGCGTACATACCCAGCAGTGGGATTACTGGGTCATATGAGAGTTGTATCTCTAGTTGTCTGAGGAAGCTCCATACTGTCTTCCATAATGGCTGCACTAATTTATGGTTTCACCAAGAGTGTAGGAAGGTTCCCCTTCCCCCACATTCTCACCAGCAGTTGTTATTCTCTGTCTTTCTGATACTGGCCAATCTAACTGGGGTGAGATGATATCTCAATGTGGCTTTGATTTGCACTTCCATAATGCTTAGAGATATTGAGCATTTTTTCATGTGTCTGTTGGCTATCTGAATATCTTCCTTTGAGAAATGTCTATTCAGCTCCTTTTCCCATTTTTTCATTAGGTTATTTGTTTCTTTACTGTTAAGTTGTTTGTGTTCCTTGCATATTCTGGATATTAATTCCTTGTCAGATGCATGGTTTGCAAATATTTTCTTCCATTCTGTGAGTTGTCATTTTGCTCTGTTAACTGTCCTTTTGCTGTACAGAAGCTTTTTAGTTTGATATAATCCCATTTATTTATTTTTCCTTTTGTTGCCTGTGCTTTTGGGGTCTTGTTCATAAAGTCTTTGTCTAGTCCTACTTCTTGAAGTGCTTTCCCTATGTTTTCTTTTAGGAGTTTTACAGTTTCACATTTAATATTTAAGTCTTTAATACATTTTGAGTTGATTTTGGTATCTGGCAAGAGGTATGTGTGGGTCTAGTTTCATTCTTCTATATATGAATGCCCAATTTTCTCAGTACCATTTATTGAAGAGGCAGTCTTTTCCCCAATGTATGTTCATGGTGCGTTTGTCCAAAATCGGTTGGCTCTTAGTATGTGGATTCATTTTTTTAGGCTCTCTATTCTGTTCCATTGGTCTGAGTGTCTGTTTTTATGCCAGTACCATGCTGTTTTGGTTACTATAGCTTTGTAGTATAATTGAAGTCAGATAGTGTTATGCTTCTGGCTTTATTTATTTTTTTGCTCAGGATTGCTTTGGCTGTTTGGGGTCTTTTGTTGTTTGATATGAATATTAGGATTTTTTTTCTATTTTTGTGAAAAATGTCATTGGTATTTTGATGGGGATTGAATCTGTAGATGGCTTTGGGTAGTATGGACATTTTCATAATGTTAATTCTTCTAATCCAAGGGCATGGAATGTCTTTCCATCTTTTTGTGTCCTCTTTAATTTCTTTCAACAGTGACTTGTAGTTCTCATTGTAGAGATTTTTCACCTCCTTGGTTAAATTTATTCCTAGGTAATATATATATATATTTTTTTTTTTGACTTGTAGTTCTCATTGTAGAGATTTTTCACCTCCTTGGTTAAATTTATTCCTAGGTAATATTTTTTTTTTTTTTTTTATATTTTTTTTTTTGGTGACTATTGTAAATGGGCTAGCTTTCTTGATTTCCTTTTCTGCTAGTTCATTGTTGGGGTATAAAAATGATACTGATTTTTGCATGTTGATTTTGTATCCTGCAATTTTACTGAAATCTTTATCAGCTATAAAAGTTTTTCTGTAGAGTCTTTAGGTTTTTCTATATATAGGATCATGTCATCTGCAAACAGGAACAGTTTGACTTTGTCTTTTCCAGTTTCGATGCCCTTTATTTCTTTCTCTTGCCTGATAGCTCTGGCTAGTACTTCCAATACTATGTTGAATAGCAGTGGTGAGAGTGGGCGTCCTTGTCTTCTTCCTGTTCTTAAGGGAGAGGCTTTCAGCTTTTCCCCATTCAGGATGATATTAGCAGTACATCCCTGACAGGAATCAGTTGATTTGCTGCTATCCTATGTGCCTGCCAGAAGCAAAAGTAAATCCTCTCTGGAAGAAGACAAAATCATCCAGAGCCTCAAATTACCTCTCTATATTTTCATATACAGTAGCCAGCATTCAATGAAATATGACCAAGAATACTAGGAGATAAGACCATTTGACTGAATACCAGGAGACAGTTGTCAGAAGATGCAGTTATTGAAATTATTTAGACATGAACTTTTAACTATTATCAATATATTTTAAAAATTAAAAATTGGGAAATTTTAACTGAGATATAGAAATTTTTAAAATAATAAAATATAGATTGCAGAAATAAAAAACACAACTGAAATTGAGAA